TATGTAACATAAAAGCCTAATACTTACATTTTTGATTCTAGTAGTAATATGTCACCTTGTAGGAAGTATGGTAATATTAAAATTATGAAGAGAAATAAAATCTATCCATAGGCATGCCATCACTGTTTGCATTTTAGGTTTGTTCTTTTGCTTTTTTTTCTGTGCATATCTTTCATATAGTTGAGTTTATAATGTATACACTCTTATTTCTTCTTTTTGTCCTTTATTTTATATTAAATGCATTTTATTCAGTTACTAAAATTGATTTTAAGTGTTTTAGTAATTGCTTACTATTCTAACACAAACATAATATGTGTCACTTATGTTGTTCTCTAATGTCACTCTTTGTTCTCTCATTGTTGAAAGACTTTTATTACTGAGAACCAAATCCATATACAGTGATCACATACCATGAAATGTTGAACAGTGATCATTTTAGACATGAAAGTTATTTAGATAAAATCCAGCCTTCTCACAAAAAGCTATCTAAATAATAGCTTTTATAATAAAAATAGCCACTATTTGTTTATTGAACCACCACTGTGAGGCAGGCATTGTGTGAAACATTTTATATGCAGTCTTTCATGTTATCTTTGGAAAAATGATGGAAGATAATATTTTCCTTATTTTACATGTGAGAAAACTGAGATTCAGAGAACTTGGGTACATTATTTGAGCTAATTTGAGAAATTAATTGTATCGGGTTAACACAGTTAATAAAACCTTGGTTTTTTGACACCAATACCCATATATTTTCTACTACAACAGTGGAAAACATGGCATGTATCAGATTCATATGGGATACTGTTTGAAAATAACATTCTCATACCCCAACTTGTTTAGGATAGAACCACAAAATCAATTTTCAGTAGGTGCTTGAAATGATTCTAATGCATGACCAGGTTTTGTTAATTACTCAGTAAGCATCACTGTCTTAAATTATGTGCTATAATTCCCTGACTCATCTAGTCTGGCAGTAGAAGAAAGTGGAACCATATATTGCTCAGTTGGTATGAAATTATGTGTACTTTGTAGAATACTCCACCTTTGCTGATATCTTAACTAATTCTCTAATAAGACAGTCTGATAATGGGCTACCATGATAGGAGCAATGAAACCCATCAGCAGTTATACATTGTCCTACTTACGTTGTCATTAAGGGAGTTCCTTGGTCAGAAGCAGTGTTTTATAGCATATGGTGGTAGTGATCAGGGCATCCACCGATAGTTTTACAGATGGAAAGGAAGTGAGGAAGGCAAATCTTTATCTAGATTATGTGCCCAAGTTAACAGCAAGTGCCTGGCTATCCGTATAATGAAAGTGATCCTCAATATTATCAGCTTTCTGTCAGGGCTTGGTGGTCCTTTCAGATCACGCTGTCATATCAAGGGCTTGTGGTTGCTCTCTGCTGTTGACATATTGGACACTCGGCAATGGCAGTAGGCAGTCATCCTTTTTGAGGGGAGTCAGTGTTGTGAAATAATGCATAACTTCTCTCCCTGTTACTATGAACACCCTTATTTACAAACACCTTGAGTAGCACTGAGGTGGGTGGGGAATGAGGCACTCTAACATGTGCTACAGTGGGTCCTTGTGACTACCTGCCTAAGTGCCTTCTCTGCATTTGCATAGGACACTCTATTTTTACATACTTAGGCCTCTTTTCCAGACCACTTATCACCCATTCAGTAATCCTCTCATTTCTATGTCTTTGACCGCATGAATCAGTGAATCAATATAGGGATTCTGCAAGTGGCTGATTATTTATATTTCATCAAGACACCCAGGAACTGGGGGTAGCACTCATTGTGGATTTGCAATCCACTGAATTCATCGTCAATGGACTAGGACCAGAAGTCCATTTATTTCCTGATCCCATAAGCCCTACTGTAATCCATGGCCCTCAGTGGAGTGGCATTAGGTGAGAGTCACTTCTGTCAGTTCTCAAACTGGCTGGGTTCTTTTCTTTAGTGTACAATCTAGAAAAAGGTCTAGATCCTTGCTAGGAAGACTAGGAGGAAGTGTCACACATTAGGAGATGTTATAATTAGTATATGCAAGCAGCCTTTACCACTGGGTTTAACTTAGCTCTCTCATTCTCTGCATCTCTGAGAAAGCAAAGATCTAATCCTAGGCCAGGGTGTAATAAGGAGGCATGGTAGTAAAACATGAGAATTTTCATCTCCTTTCAAGGAGCTACCTCAGCTGCTCAGACAGTGTAGGAAAGGCCTCCTCAGACAGGCTTCTGCTTGTTCGGAAGGTTGAGTGGGGTTTTAGTATGTGGGTACTTGGAGTTATTTGGATCCTTCTAAATGTTGCCAGTTCAGTTGTCAGGTTTTCACCATTATCCGGACATGGTCCTAAATCTCACATAAGAGATGGCTGGGCATCTGTGTTGTCATTCAGCAGCACACAAACTTGCACTCAGTGGCAACAAGCAGTAAAACCTTCTAGGATACATCTGGCTCTTTGGGCTTAAACTCATAACATAAAACCCTGAGGCTGCCATTTCCTTCTTTAAACTCTTGAATACAGTAGGAAACAGCCCATTTCACTCCACTCCTCTTGCCCATCCCTCATACTGTTCTGTAAGCCTCTCACATGGTCCATCAGTTATTCCTTCAAAAGCATTTTACTGTAGGTGATCACAGGTGATCATTTAAGAAGTTTGCCACTTAAGTGATCCCAGTATCCCATCTGCTCTATTATAATCAGATCCTCACTGCTTGAACCCATGGATATTGATTTCAGTTGGTCCTTTCTACTAGTTTAATTGTAGTTTGTAGAAATTATTAGTTAATGATATGTTTATTTCTAAAGAGATTCCCATTACTTAGTATTAATATCCTTTTAGATTCTCAGAGTTTTCACTATTTAAGGTCTAATGAGAATTTAACTCATTTTCTTCATTTATATGCTATATTGATGAAATTATGGGAGTCATTACTGATATGTATCAGCTGGTTATATAAGATAATAATCATGATAGTGCTATGATCTGTTGAGCCTTTGGTTTGTGCCAAACGTCATGCTAGATGTTTTGCCCACATCGTCTTTGCTATAGAATAATGAATGCTGTATTTATATAATAATAGTCATTACTGTATTCATCATTTATTGAGTGCTCATTATGTGCGAGGCATAATTCTAAAGACTTTTTGTGTGTTAACTCCTTTATTAATATAACAACCTTGTGAGATAGATACTATACTATTATTATCCCCACTGAAAATCACCCCTTTAAAATGAGGATAATGTAACCTGCCTAAAGTCATACAATAAATGTTGGATTTGGGATTTGAATGTAGAACTTCAAAGTCTGTGTTTTTCCCTAAACACTATTCTGCCTCTCATCATAAACCTATGGTATAGTCTGGTGATAATTCCTTACTCTATGGAATTATATAATGATACAGAATCCTTCCGTGTATATGCCTGTAGCATTAGCATTATTGGCCTCTTGGATAATAGTGGAATTAAAAGATGGTGTTGCCAGGAACTCCTGGGGTTATATCTCTTATGGGATAGGTTTTTTGAAGAGGCTAGAAAGATTTTCTGCCTTTTAGAAATCACTCTAGTTTCAGGTCCCTATTAATCTTAATCTGTCTGATTTTAATATTGAAAACAAAGACTAATGGATGACCCAGAGTCTCGAAATCTGGACCTATAATTGAATGTTAGTTAGGAAAAGGCAATAGAGCAAAATCAGTAGTCCCTTGAAAATCTTTTTTTCCCTGCTCTTCATTTCCCCCTGAATTTCTTTATGTAAACCAAAATATAAAAGTTTAAAAACCTTTATCATAATTATGTGAAATCATGTAATAAACTCTTTCATTTATTTTATTCAGTTTTAGTCTCAGCATATAGTGCCTGACATGTAGAAATGTTTTTTGAATGAATATGTGAATGAGCAAATAATTCATTCATAGAAATGAGTGAGTAATGTTTAATTACTCGTTCAACAAATATTTGTTGAGCATCTCCTATATACCAAGCACTTTTCTAGACATGAAGAATGCATCACCAAACAAGACAATCACACTCTCTGCTCTGTGTTGATCACCTTCCAGTGAGGGAAAATCAAAAATAGACAAGTAAAAAGTAAGATATTTTGATAGTAATAAATGCTTTGTAATAGCACCATGGGCACATGGCATAGCCAGTGCATAAGTGAGCTTGGGAGTTTCACCGGGTTGAGAAACATAGCAGAGGCCTGTGCAGCAGCTACAGGAAACAGGAAGGCGAAGGCACCCCAGCAGGCAGCAGTGGGCAGACCATGGGGCTCCTCGTAGACCAGCCTCAGGAAACGAGACTTTATTCCAGCACAGAAGGAAGCTTTTGGCATGTTTATAAATGCCTGGGAATATCAGCATCAGATGTATAGTTTAAACCTTTTTCCTTAGGGTGGTGTTTGCTGTTGAGTGAACCTTCTGTGATAACCACATGCCAAATAAGCTTTGGACAGTTTTTATTTTCTTTTTCTTTTCTTATAATGATGCATTTTTAAATGTGATTTTTCTTTTTTAGGAAGAAGAGTTGAGGAAAAGTGGAGAAGCGAAGTACTTCCACCTCAATGATGATCTCCATGTTCTCATTGAAGTGTTTGCTCCGCCTGCAGAAGCTTATGCTCGGATGGGACATGCTTTGGAAGAAATCAAAAAGTTCCTCATCCCTGTTAGTGCAGTTTTTCTTGATAGTTAACTGGTGCTTTAAAGTCCTTTCTTCATTTTAATCCTTGATAATTCTTGTCAGTAATTGTTATTTGCATAGCTCCTTATCTGTTAGAAGGCTCCATGTACATCACCTAAAGTAAACCTCATAAGTGTCCCTGTGAATTACTTGGCATTATTCCTTCTTTATCTATAAGGCTTTGGAGTTTTAGAGAAATTAAATAATACAGGTGAGGTTTCATGGCTAACACTCTTGCAAAGCACAATCACTAGTTCAGGTTTGAGACTTCAAGTCCTAAGATTTTATGTGACACTGAAAACTCTTCACAAACCCGTTGTTCTCCAACACAAACCCATTAGTGCCTTCCATGTGTTGAACATCGTGCTTGGTGTTGGGCATGCAGACGTGAATAAAAGTTGTCCCTGCCCTCAAGGAATATGTAACTTAGGGGAAAAGAGGAACATCAACAGGTGATTTCAGTACAATGTGACAGTTACAATGACAGACATAACCATAGTGAGCATAGAGGAGAAGGGCTATTGCTAGCTTAAATGTGTAACTAGCCTCTGACAGACAACTGATAGTCTGTTTTAACCCTTTCAGACACCTTGACATTGCTAAGAATGTGATTATTTAAAGGGAATACTCCTCTACCTGTTACAAAAGTTATTGTAATTTTTTAAAATACACAAACTCTCTTATGTGATTTGTATGCTCTTGATAAAAATGAAAGCATTTAGCACTTTGGCTCTGTAGACAATTTATTTTAGAGAAGCTGACACATCTACCACTCTGGGGTAAAAATGTGTCTTCATTGATCTTAGGTTGTTCTGATAGATTGACTTACATACTGTAGTACATGTATTGTGATGATATTATCTTTGAGGAAAACAACTATTATATTTATAGGTAAAGGATATTTTAACTCAAGTTGCCTTCAAAAAGCTGAGACATGGAATTGCATTAAGTATTTAATCACCTGAGAGCTGAAAATGGATAATATTTTCCTGAGTTCCCACAGGCAAATATAATAGTCTGTTTATCCATTTAGTTCAAAAACAAAATTTCTAAAAACTTACTATGTGATAATCACATGTGAACTGATAAAAGACAAGATCTCTGCCCTCATGGAGTTTATAGTTTAATGGGAGAGTCAGATAATAAACCACATATTCATATAAATGACTACAAAATTGCAACTCTGGCATGACCACAACTAAGGAGACATTTATGTTCTAGTGGGCATGTAGTGTGGACCAGCAGCGCTGATCTAGCCAGGTGGGATGGGTTCTGTTGTCCAAAGATGGCTACAGTGGTACCTTCTCTCCCAGGACCTTTACAGTCCTCCACTCAGAGGTAGAATCTAATTTCTCTTACCCTGAATCTGGGTTACCAAGAGAATCTTTGCCTAACCAAGGTCACAGAGATTTTCTGCTGTTTCTTTTTAAATGCTTTTTAGTATTTTTTCATGTAAGTCTGTAATCCATTTTGAATTAATTTTTATGTAAGGTGTGAGGTTAGGATCTAAATTTGTCTTTTTCTATATGGATATCCAGTTGCGCTAGTACCGTATGTTGAAACAAGACAAACATTTCCTTATCGAATTGCCTTACCATTGTTGAAAATTAACTGAACATAAATGTAAGAGTTTATTTCTGGATCCTCACTTCTGTTGATTTATATGCCTGTCCTTATTGTCAGTAGTATAGTCTTTATTACTTTAGCCTTCAAATAAATTTGGAAATCTGGGTTATATAATTGCTCCAACTTTGTTCTTTTTCAGAATTGTTTTGGCTATTCTGGCTCCTTTGCATTTCCATATATATTTTAGAATCAGCTTGTTAATGTCTACCAAAAAAGCCTGCTAGGTTTTGATAGATATTATATTGAATCTGTAGATCAATTTAGGGATAATTTTCATCTTAACAGTTTTGAGTCTTCCAGTCCATGAAGGTGAAATGTTTCTCCACTTTTTAAAAAAGATATTATTTTATTTCTCTAAAAAGGGTACCAGCCTTGCGTTTCTTTATAAAATTTATTACTAAATATTCTATGCTTTTCATGCTATTGTGAATGGAATTGTTTTTCAATTTCATTTTCAAATGGTTACTAGTGTGTAGAAATGCAAATGATTTTTATACGTTGATCTTTTACTTAAACTTGTGACCTTGCTGAACGTGTTTATTAGTTCTAGGGTGCTGTTTTTTAATAGAATCATTAGGATGATTTAATGAAATCCTAATTAGTTATTATTAGGATTTGATGGCATTCAGGACCATGTCATCTGTGAATAAAGACGATTTTACTTCTTCCTTTCCAATCTAGATGCCTTTAATCTTTTTATGTTATACTATGGCATTCTATTCCATTTTATTCCTTTCCATTCCATTCCTAATTACTCTGACTAGAACCTCCAATGCAGTATTTTTGCTGAAATTAGGAGGAAAACATTCAGTCTTTCACCATTAGCTGTAGGTTTTTCATTGCTGCCATGTTGAAGTTCTCTTCTGTTCGTAGTTGGTGAGAGTTTGTATCGTGAATAAATTGTGTATACATGGATGCTGGATTTTGACAAATACTTTTTCTGCCTGTTTAGATGATCATGTGGTTTTTTTCTCCTTTATTCTGTTAATAATAGTGTATTACATTAGTTGATTTTCAGATGTGAAGCCAAATTTGCATTCTGAGGATAAATCTCACTTAGTCATGGTATATAATCTTGTTTATATGTTGCTGGATATGGTTTACTAATAGTTTGTTAAGGGTTTTTGCATCTATAATTGTGGGGGTATTGGTTTACGGTACAATAGTTTTCTAGAATCTTTTATATTAACCCACACATTTACTGTTTCTGGTGCTCTTCATTTCCTGTGGATAGAGTCATACGTCATTATTTCTTTTTAGCCTGAAAGACTTCCTTTAGACTTTCTTGTAACCAAGGTCTGCTAGCAAAAAAATGTTTTATTTTTCTGGGAATGTGTTTATTTTACCTACATTCTAAAGGATAGATTATATAATTCTTAGTTGACAATTTTTTTGTGTTTTTTTCATTTGTTTCCAGTACTTTGAATATGCCACTGTCGCCTTCTGGCCTCCATTATTTTTGATGACTAGAGAGTAATTAATCATTTTGTTGTTCTCCTGTACATGAACTGTTGTTTTTCTCTTGTTGCTGTCCAGACTTTCTCTGCCTTTGGTTTTCATCAATTTAGCTGTGACACGGTTTTTTATTTTTATAGATTTATGGAGTACACGTGCAGATTTGTTGTATGGCTGTATAACAAATATAGTGGTGAAGTCTGAGCTTTTTGTGCAACCATCACCCAATTAGTGTACATAGTACCAAATAGGTAATTTTTCATCCCGCACTTCCCTCCCACGCTCCCACCCTCTTGCCCTTCTGAGTCTCCAGTGTCTATTTATTCCACTTTCTATTTCCATGTGTACTCGTGGTTTAGCTCCCACTTCTAAGTGAGAATATGCTGTGATGTGTACATTTATCTTCTTGACTAAGCACTGTGCATCTATAAGTTTATGTTTTTCTTTAAATGTGGGAATTTTTCAGTGATTATTTCTTTACGTTTTTCTGCCTTCCCTCCCCTCATTTCTGCTGTGTGTTGGCATACATACTGCCATCCCCTAGATTGCTGAGTATCACTTTTTCATCCTTTTTTCCCAGTGTGCCTCAGACTGGATCATTTTAATTAAAATTTGACCTATCTTCAAGTTCACTAACTCTTCTGCTACCTTACGTCTGCCGTTGAGCTCTGTAGTGAAGGAGAGGAGCAGTTCATTGCAGTCATTGTACTTTCTGTAATCTCTTTTTTTGCAGGTCTAACATCTGGGCCCTCTCCAAGATATTTTCTTTGTACTGCTTTTTTTTCTCCTGAGTGTGTGTCACATTTTCCTATTTCTTTACGTCTCTTAGTTTTTTGTTGAAAACTCTACATTTTAGATAACATTGTAGCAAATCTGGATTCTGATATATTTTCTTTACAAAGGGTCGTTGTTCCTTTTTTTTTTCTGTCTTCTGTTTCTTTAATAATTTAATTAGACTAGATCTGTGGAATCTATCCTTCCTCATGGGTACAGCTAATAATATCTCTCTTTAATGTTTTTTCTTCTTTTATGTTTAAGCCTGGCCAACTAGGAGTGTTCTCTGTGTCAGCATTACTCACACACCTATGTTAGTGAAGCTTTTGTCCTCCACTGATGGGGCTGTGTGTGCACTGGGGACTGTCCAAAGGAGTCTGTTTTCATGTCTGCCTTGGCTTTTACTTTCCACCTGGATTCCTGTGTCTCCCCTGCATGTGCCCAGACTTACCATCAGGAAAGCGTGGGTGTAGGGCCTTG